CGGATGCTTTGGTAGCTCTATGAGCATTGGTGAGTGCTTTGAAAGAATTTGCGGGAGCATTCTTAGTGCCGCCAGATGTTTGGCGGAGCCTGGTGATGGGAGCATTGTCGAGTGCTCTCTGGACACAGGTGATATCCCCTGGTGGAGCTTGGAGAAGAGCACATTAGCGAGTGGTCTCCCGACACGAGTAGCACTCGCCCTGATGGAACCTGACGGTCGTAGCATTGTCGAGTGCTCTCTGGACGCGGGTGATATCCCCTAGTGGAGCCTGACGAAGTGCACATTAGCGAGTGGTCTCCCGATGTGAGTAGCACCTGCCCTGACAGAACCTGGCTGTGGGAGCATTGTCGAGTGCTCTCTGGATGCAGGTGGTATCCCCTAGTGGAGCCTGGCGAAGAGCGTGTTAGCGAATGCTCTCTGAACGTGAGGAATATCTCCTGCAAAGCAATGCGAAGAAGGAATTGCCCAATGATCTCCGACATGAGTCAATTCATTTGGCAGAGACGGGCAAAGAAAGCATTTGCGAGTGCTTTCCGGATGTGGGTGATATCCACTGATGGAGCAGAGAGAGCATTGGCGAGTGCCCTCCGAAGGTGAGTAATATTCTTCGAAGGAGCTTGGCAAAAGCAGTATTAGCTGGTGCTCTCTGGATGCAGGTGATATCCCCGATCGGTGCCTGGTGAAGAGGGCGTTGTCCAGTGCTCTCCAGGCGTGAAAAGTAGAACCTGCCAGCGCCTGGTGAAAAGGGCATTAGCAAGTGCTTTCCAGGCATGAAGTGTATAGCCTAGTAGCGCCTGGTGGAAAGGGCATTAGCGAGTGCTCTCCTGACATGAGCAGTATCTTCTGGTGCTGCCTGGCGAGGAAAACATTGGCGAGTGCTCTCCTGATGTAAGCGATATCGCCTGACGGAGCCTGGCGGGATTGCTATCCTCTGGCGGCGTCGGACGCACCAGGCGCTCGGGGCGCAAGATTCGCGCCAGGATATGGGCTCTGTGCCCGGGGAAATAGCGGAGCTTGCTGATGTAGTGCAGCCCATAAGACTGTGGAAAACAGTAAACATGGCAGTTTCCCCACTCTCAACAAGCGGACTGAGCCTCGGCTAAGTTCGGATATTCTCTTTCTACCGGCCGGGTAGCGGCTAAATTCTTGACACCGGCTTGGCCCCACGGGGAGGAGTTCCCTTTCGATATTACACTGCATTCGATCATGGACCCATTGGGCGGTATGGCTATATTAGCCATTTCGTTACTCTTTTACCTTTCCTTTGTTGTGTTTTTCATTTTGTGGAAGTCAGGGGAAGTTTCTTGTCATCTGCTTTGTAAAAAGATGTGCGGTTGGTATCAGACCATAGTTACTATAACAAGGGACCAGGCGGGGGATAGGAGGGGTTTTGTTCACGCCATACCTTAGGCTCCATGCGATATTCATGTACCCAGAAACAATAGAAACTATGAAACAAAAAAAAAAAAAAAAAGCTAGGATTGTGACAGGTGGGGGCGCGGGGACGACATAGGACTGTAACGGCACGTAGTACAGCTGCGTGGCGGCAAGCAGGGTGGGGACGGCAGAGCGACGTGACAGCTAGGTAGCTGCATGACACTGGCAAATAGGAACTACAGTCACTCACGGGGTGAAGGCGGATCCTGTCTGATGGCGGTCAGGGATTTGAGGCCAATAACAGAGTTAACTTTGGAACGCCAAGGGGAAATTACTGCAAACACAACCATCAGACATGTAGAGGATCCGCCGTCACTAGGTGAGCGACTGTATGTAGTAGGCTGAAAATCTCTAAGTCCTAAACGCTTATATAATGATAAATCCTCAACCCGTCATCACCATCAATGCATCGATAGCTAGCGGGCCGGTATGGACGTGACTATATATAGCTCGCCCATGCCCGCTTTCGCCAGACTCATGCGCATGCTATTTTTTTTTTAAACAATTGTATTTCCTACCTTGAATTACAAGCACATTGAGTATAAGTATGAAGGAGATGATTTGATCAATTGAAGATCCTGCAGCTGTTGATGGAATTGGTTGCTAGTTGATAGATTTGGGGATCCTTCGGTGAGGAGGAGAAATTTAAACGAAACCTCACGAGTAGAATAGGATATGATCTCACGTTGTAGGCATTGATCTTAGTACAGGTAGTCGTACGCACGCTCTGATAGATCTGAGACAGGCGGCACAGTAATTTTGAAGCGCGTAGCTGGCTTGTACTAGAAAAGAGTCGCACAAACATGATCAGAAGACTCCCGAACCGAACCACTCGACTGATGGGCACAATACAAAACAAAACGGATACCTGAGAATATTTCGTCTTTTCTCGTCAATTGCAGATGGGTCTCGGAATTAACAATACTTCAGCCAGGTGTTAGTCGAGACCAAGGATCCGGGTCATCTAGTTGATTTTTCATATCAGTGACGTGATTACACGATGATATTTCTCAGCGAAACTGCTTAGGCGTTCAGTAAAAGGTCGTGTTAGGGACGTTTGTGGAAACGCCTGTTTTCGCGACCTCTTACTATATACTGAACGCCTAAGTGGGGTGCAAAGTCTCGAGACTTATGGTGAGGATACGGTTATCTGGTTGGTATTTTGTATCAGTTTGTCTTGTTACGCGATGGTGGTTTAATTGGGGAAAAATTCAGCAAAACTGATTAGGTTTTGATGCTAGCATTTGGGTCACAGACGATCACTCGCATGTATCGAGACTTTTCGTCTCGATTGATTATGTAATTTATTGGTAATCTTTTTTTTTCCTTTAACTCATTTAGTCCCGTGCGCGTGCCCACCACTGCCTTTGACAGAAGGTTCTCAATTCTATAGTCCTCTTCTAGTATTTAAATACTTTGTAAGTTGGGAATCCAAGATGACTGACAGTTTTGAACTAGATTCCGTCATTCTCTTGACAGCTATGTAATTATAAAACACATTAATATAAACCTACATGTACTTGTAGTTACATAGAATCCTCAGCTATGACTAGTGTGGTCGACAAGTCAGATCTAGTCGAGTTGTACGATTCGCTCAAGCAGCTCGTCCATTTAGGAGACCTGCTCTGCTCGACTCGTGAGATCACCTCTGCTCGATCGTGGCGAAACTCGGGCCCCCCAACAAATATGCTTAATACCCTAAATAGTACCTAATAAGGCAAAGTATTAAAATATTCTTTGTGAAAAATAGATTGTTGGTTCCAATTCCGGGCCAAACGGCCTTCAATCTGTGAACATGTGCTAAATCCTATATGACTAGCTATCCCTTGGACGGATGAGAGTTGTCAAATTCGCGACCACACTCTTTCAGCTATCACTAGCCTAATGTGGCAATTGTTCAAAACTCTTGATTGGCTCTGTTGTTGTTGCCAACCGTAAAAAGCAAGATAATTCCCTTACTAAGTGGTGCACGGCCCAGGTCGCGAATTTGACAACTTTCATCCGTCCAAGGGATAGTTCGAATGCTCGAGCAACTGGAGTCGATTTTTGTAACGTGCTCGGGAGAGCTCGAATCGTGGCCCCTGCCCGACCCTGCTCGAGTACAAAGCTCGAGCTGTGAGCTCGAGCCGACTCGACTCGTCGACTACACTATCTAAGACCAATCCTTATCACGCTCGAACAGAAATAAAAGAAGGTCTCGAGCAAGCTGAACTCATATACATTGGAGGGTTAGTATCGTGGGTTCGAGCCCTCTGGCGGACTCGAGTTAAACTCATGAGTCGGCGCGGCTCATCTCGTCAGGGGCACTACATGTATCTTTATATATTCATCCCACACATAACAACATCCGGTCCGCAATGTACATAACTACACCCCGGCCGGTATCCGGTTTGGCAGCTAGTTAATCTTCCATGGTGTGGGATCGATCCCGCTATGTAGTTAGTTCCTGAGTATCATTGACATACATATACTTAGGCCAGTAGCAGAACTTGGACGTTGTATGATGTATACCTTCGACTACCAGGGCACTGTACAATTTGCAAATTTGACCTCGAAAGCCTGATCGAGAAGGGCAGGTTGTAGCGCAAGCACCTCGTACCCCGCCTATAAGCTCAGAGCCTACCTCTAAGCCCCTTCGGCGCGGTACTCTCTCAGGCGTGGAAATACCTGTCATTAAACTATACCAACCTATATGTAATTAAAGCCAATACCGTTCTATTGTTCACTAACGATCGATTTTCCTAGCTAGCACCTCTCCCATAGTACCCTACGGCCCATCCCTTACCCTCCACGAGTTTATTAATGACTCTCCCTTCATAGACGACTCGCTCTCCATGACGTCTGCACTTGACTCACATCTTCACCGCTCCCCTCGATGAGCCTCAAAGATGGCAGCGAACAAAAAGTTTAAAACACTTGATACCCACCCACTCAGGGTGCAAACAATCCTGCATGTAATTAATTGATTATCAATCAATCAATCAGGGTGCAAACAATCAGCCACTCAGGGTTAGGGGAACTTTAACTAATTGAGATTATTCAACTTCCCATTTAGGATTAGCCTATCATTAGTACAGTCTTCCATTCTCCACTAGTTCGCTACAACCCCATATCCGCCCAAGTATTGACCTTCACCGATGAGACTTTGTTATTGAAATTTCCGACGATTTTCCTCATTTTCCAATGCCGTATTTATGAACCCTGTAGATATCTCCACTTCATATTTATTTGCCCTACGCTAGAATACTCGAAAGTCTCGCGCCAACTCTACCAAAACGCAGCAGAAAGAAAATACAGCAATCAACTCCAACACATCCCTTCCTAATACATCCCAATTTATCCCCCCCCCCCCCCCCCCCCCCCCTAAACCCCCATCTAAAAAGGCCATACAACCAACCGTACGGCAAGGAAAAAGATCTAATTAGATAATAACTCCGCATACTATCCCATCGAAAAATTACGCTCATCGCCACCCAAAATATCATAATCATCCAACACCCCGAACCAGCGGGATTGATCTCCATACTCCCATTCCCCTCCCTCCGTCATTTCAAATCCCTTCTCTACAACTTTGCCGCCGCAGCTAGTCTCCCCCTTGGGGCGGAGGCCTGCATCTTCTTCTTTGCGGCCTTCAATTCCTCGGGAGTCAGCTTTAGGCAGACGCGCAGCTCTTGCGATTTCGGCGGATGGAAGACCTGCAGTGTGCACAATGATTAGCGCCAAGCGCGCAGATTGAAGGGCACGCGAAAATACTCACCAGCCCGTGGAACTTGACCGTCTTCTTGTCCGCCGACGTGCTATACACCATGCGAAAGTTACCCGCGTCCTGGCTCGCGTCTTTCGACTTCTACTCCACGATATCAGCCCATGCACTACCTACATCCCATGCCACCGCTCTCTGTCCAACTTACCGGCGCCCACTTGCTCCCATCATGTAGGATCGGAAAATACTTCAACGAGAACCCCGGGCTCAGCACTATATCGGGCAACAGCGTCTTCCCCGCCGGATCGCGGTTCATAAAGTTGCCCGGATACTTCCTAAAGTTCCCCCTGCCGAGCCCGACCACCATCGCCATCGTCTTGCTGACCGCCGCGGCCGTGAAGAGGTGGTTGACCGGGTAGATGCTGTCCGGATGGAACTCTGCCGGCGAGCCGACGGCGCTCAGGCCGCACCACCAGCTGTCGTCCGAGCGCACGTTGTACTTGTCGTATGTGGCGGCGGGGGTGCCGGAGGAGCGCACTGCGGGGCGTTGGACGTTGAGCGCGGATCTGTAGTTGCGTCGTGTTAGTCCCCCGGTGGAGGCGGGGATGGTTGGGCTGGTTACTTGCCTTTTGAGGATGTGGTTTTCAGACCCGCCGTGGCCGGTGGAGGCCAAGGCCTGCGCGATAAGGAGGGCCACGGAGATCCAGAAATTTACACATAGGCAGGAGCATGGTTGAAACATGATCGATGTATGATAACTGTGATGTGTAGAGTCTTTGGGGTATAGTGATATTGTTTCTGTCTTTCAGGAACTGCCTGATCTGAGCGATGATGATGGAGTGCAAGTTCCCCAGATCGTTGTGGTCGGGGAGGGGCTGATGTATGTATATATATATATATATATACTAAGCCCCCACCACTCGCGTTCGTCGTGTGTTCACTACTCCGACTCACACACCGGCGGCGGTGCTGGCTGCAGCAGCAACTAGGCAACTGCCGAGACCGCTGTCGACGAGGACGACGACAACGACGACAGCGACAACACCTGCATGATGCCCTGCAGGCGGAATCCTCCCAGATCAGTCACAGAGCGTCGATGATGATTCTGATGATGATGATTCTGATGATGATGATTCTGATTCTGATTCTGATGATGATGATGATGATGATGATTCTGATGTCTTGGTGCACAGGGCAGACGGCACTGGCAGTGTGGACGGAGAGAGAGGGCGCATGAATACGATGATGGATGAGTCTGGAGGATGAACAGCGGGTGGAAGGGTGTGAAGTGTGGGAAGGGATTCGAGGGCAAGTGTGGTGTGTGCAAAAACACGGTTACTGCACACGAACAATCGATTCGTTCCCTCACACGTGCACACCCACCACGGGAGGGCACAGGACAAGATCTCTCTCTATTTCTTCATGCACCCCCCCGACTAGGGCTGTATATACACACACACCGTACCCTCCCTCCCTCCAAACACACTTTAATCAATCCCCGGGTGGCCCAAGCACTCGGTGAGGAGAGGAGAGGTGAGATGTCGCTTGTGGCGTAGGAACGCACCCCTGCGGGAATCTCCCGCGCGTAGAGTAGATGCACACCCACACCCACCAACACCCGTGGCTGCTGCACCCATGATTGGCCCCCCACCCGCGTCTACTACAAATGCACCCACCCGGTGAAGACGACGTCGCTTCGCGCGCATCGCATAAATAAGCTATAACAGACGTCCGTCGCTCCTTGCGCTGAGATAAGTCATGCAGCAGCTCAGAGACTTTGCTCCCCGTAGTATCGCCACATTTGGCAGTGGAGGATATAGAAGCTGCTCTATTCCTATTTGTGTTCTATTCGACAGGATAGAACAAAGATCTCTCTGTTCTATTCGATCACTGGTCCAGTTGTGGAGGGTGCAGGGATTGGATTCACAGAACCCACCCCCTCGAGGCGGGTAACTGGCTGTGATAGAAACCCATGTTCTATCCGTTGCAACCTCGAATAGAACCTAAATACATAGCGATAGAACAGCTTCTATCGCCTACGGGAAGTCCTCCAGTGTCAACACATCGGCGGAGGACTGTATATAGCGCTTTTGGATCAAGCAGTCTAGCACGGAGATTAAGCAGAAAGATAGGATGTACACACAACCCCATACCGACACAAATACCCCGCGCTCCTTCGCCTGTACATACGCATGCAAGTACTTGGGTGGTAGTAATCTTAAAGATTTTTTTGTTTCACCCTGTTTATACGCATCGCTAACGTGCCACGGTGTTGGTTTCATGATATCGGCGCCGCACGGGAACGGTTCTTGGCGACGACGCCAATCGCCTTTCCGAGTGCATGCTTATGGCGGCGGCCGCCCTACAATATCTTCCCCAATCTTTGCTGCACACATATATGTTACGCCTCTATCCTCTATCCCCGCGATATACTGATACAGCGCTACATCTAATCAGCTGAACGCCGCGCCGGCCGGGTATGCACCTGTCCATCCCGTCCGTATCGCCATATCTCTTCGCCGCTGCCGAGAGATCTGTGGAGAGGAAAGGTAAAAATATAGTATAGAGCCGTCGAGTTAATATGGTGCTTCCGGTGCTCTCAAAACGGTTTGTTCCTCTCCTCGCGCCTTCCAATTTATGGTGCCGACGATACGTGGTGTTTGTGCAAACATTCAGGACTCGAATCTTTTATTGGTATTCTGTTGTTGGCAATGTCTGTGCAATCTACGCAGGCTACGTAGCGGCAAAAATTATACCAGTGTTAATACGGTCCAAGACGTCTCGAGGACACCTCATCTCTGGAAAGCACGGTATGACTGAAACAACCGTCAAACGACGCAACAGCCGTATCAACTACCATACGTAATTTAGCACCCTTTCAGTCAGCCATCCATTCTGCGCTCCTAATAACGACGTACAGTATCATCCCAAGGCATAAGACATCGCGGATGAGTCATGGATTATCACTCGACATGGTCAACCACCCCCGGCTGCGTGAATATTTAATTCCCCACGTCCAACCTGGCCTAACTAGCTTTTCTGCTCCCGTCCTGTGCGGCCTAAAGTTCTTCCGGGTTCTGAATAAGGTGCGCTTAAGCTTGATATGACATTTCTTCGCATAGATATAATGAACATGATCACCGGCCAACACCGGGAGCAACCAACCGAATGGGGACCGGAAAACAGACTAGAAGGAGAATCATACCCCAGCCCTAGTAGGTTCTTTTGGTATTGGCGCGGCGGGATTGCAGAGCTGGGCGGTGGATTCAAAAACATCGTCTAAGCTAGAGGAATGATTCAGACCAGTGGTTCCCAGGCAAGTAGGTTACGCGAGCTAGTGAATCGACACACCCCCTTGATCGTCATGGCCATATATGGCTTGGTGGTCACGTCGGCATTACATGTGCCACATGCACCTACTGTTTGCTATCATGGATCTAGTTGCCTGCCTGAGCGTTGCCAAGACCTCACTTTGGTTATCGCTGCACAATCAGTCGAGTGATAGACTGTGACTGGGATTATCTGTACCCAATCATTCCCTACGGGTACAACGCAACGCATTGCTGCTTCTCGGTTTAGATGCGCCATCTAGAGCATATATATTTTACGTGCTTAGGGCCACAGTTGATTGGATAATTCAACAAAGATAAATCCCCCGAGTTCATCCAAAATAAAAAGTATATCGTGATGACGGTCTTTACTTTAGGTATATATACTCGGGCCATGCGCTAGAGCTCGAACACCTTGAGCCCTCTTTCCCAAAATCCAAGCCAGCTCGAGATCCGTGCCCAATACTACGCATGACGGATTCCCACGAACACCTATTAGAAAGGTACTTGTAGTTTGAGGTGGCTTGGCATCAGGGTTAGGTGTGTAACATGTCAAATCCACGTTGTGACGCAGGTGGCTGGAGAGGTAATGTATATGCGTGACAGGGGCAGGATACGTACAGCAACACCGGCCGCGAGCCTGCAGACTGAGTACTTTCCTCCTCTACCTTTTTCTGCCTCTTTGATCTTCTCCTGGTAATTATGATATCATTCACGGATTCGAGTCTCTCATTGTGACAGAGCCTGAGCCATAGTACATGCGTGGTACGCATGTAGGACTAAATCTTTACTGAAGACGTGCATGCACCCGGGTCGCTATAAAACCTGGAGTTGAATATTGAATATACGGTCCCGATAGGAAATAAAATCTGGATAAGAGCTAGTGATGGCCACGAAACAAGACGTCTCGAGCTCTTGTCTCGAGACTTGCCTACAAGACCTGGCAATACAGCGATTATGGAAGGACAGATATCTCGAGACGAGTCTGAAGTTGGTCTCGAGATATAATGCAAGACTTTGCCACTACTTATTTAGTCCCTACAGATCCAATATTGGGTGATCCATTCTCCAAAATCTTGAACATTATGGATCACGTGATTATACTTCTGTCTAAATTTAAATATTCTCTTAATTGAAGCCGTTTAGTGCTGTTGAATACGAGAGTATAATTATCTCGCGGTACTCTCGAGGCTCCCAAGACCTATCCCTCACCAACAGGATACGAGACGAAACAACTGTCGTTCTGGCCTCGTCTTGTCTCGTGGCCATCACTAATAAGAGCTCGCCCAAGCCTATTAAGATTCCGAGTGATGGACTATGATCCAAATTAGATCAAAACTCGGTGTCAAACTTGTTCCACTTCGTTTTTTTTTGCTCAAAGATTCTCTTGAATCCAAAGATTCACCATATGGCTGCAACCCCAATCAGTCCTACCTAAGCTGCCAGCTTTGCCCAACTTGAGTCTCGCGACTTTGCACAATACCTAACTCAAATCTTGGCAACCACGAAACAATTTTCGGGAGTTCACGTTGGGAGAAGACGAAACACTCTCACAAGTCGCCTTGTTTTGCGCTACGCCCGTCGCTAGATATATGTCAGGATAGAGGTGAGATCAACCGACATCCTCAACTCCTCTCTGTTCTCTAATATCTAGTGATATGGCCGGTAGATAGTTATCCAAGCGTTTAGGTGCGGTAACAGCAAGGTTTCTTGGTATTTTGGTCCAGCGGAGAGTGATGAGAGCGCGAAGGATAGCCTTGCCGCCTTTACCTTAACCGTCTCAGCGCCCAAAACACGTGAGTAATAAACTATGCGACTGTAGTGTTCGAGTACAAACTTGCATGATTCGCTACTAATCACAGAAAATACAATACTAGTAGTGCGTAGGAGTAGGTAGGATTGTGGGTGCATGGGCAGGTGACGGTTTGTGACCGCACCCATTAGTCTGAAGGCGAACCATTTGCCCCACCACACGACTGTGGTAGGGACTGGTTTCAGGGTCAGGGTGCTAGCACAAAGGGGCTGTCAAGGTTAGCGCTGTAGGGCTGTACCTTAACTCAGTAATTAATTGATATAGAATTTATTTACATTCACCCCGAATTTACAGTATTAAGTAATGCAGGGCTAAGAAGACGCGAAAGCGTCTGAATTTATTGAGACTATGTACTTAGGTTTGGTCATAGCTTCTGTTGAGCTCGATATATATACTAATATTGAATAAGACTGGGCTCGCTAATAGTAGGAGGTGCTGGGCTAACTATTGGTAAGCGGGGGCTTGCTACTGTTAGGTGCTACTGATAGGAGATGCTAGGATCGCGTCTGGTAGTAGGTGCTGGGTTCGCTATTGACTGGTAGAAGCTGGTGCTCGGATTTCCGCTGGTAGGAAGTGCTGGGCTCGCTGGTAACGGGTGTTGAACTTGCTGTTGTTTGGTGTTGAGCTTACTGATTCTAGCGGATGTTGAAGCTGCTTCGATCTGGTAGCGGGTGTTGAACTTATTGATGATATTATTTGGTGATGAGCCTGCTGCTGTTAGCGGGTGGAGAAGTATCATTTAGTGCTGAGTTTGTTGTGCTGGTGACAGGTGCTGAGCTTGCTGCTGGTAGCGGGTGCTGAGATTGTTGTGCTGGTGCTGAGCTTGCTGCTGGTAACGGGTGCTGAGGTTATTGATGGTAGCGTGGGTATTGAGCTTGCTGCTGGTAGCGGGTGTTGCTGGGACGTTGGTAGAAGGTGCTGGGCCTGGTGCTGGTAGATGGGCCCACTGCATGCTGGTATGATTTAAGGCACCAGTGCACACCTAAGCTTATATTATATGTATGTAGATAAATAATTCCTCACGTCACTTATTGTGAAGTCCGCTAAAAGGATGATCCCCTGGCGTACCGATCCTATGACCCATTTATATGACGTTTCAGGTTCATGAATATATATAATTTAGGGTCTGTGCTGCCGCTGCGCATGATATGTGCAGCCTTTTCAGGGACATTCAAAAGTTTCCATATATATATATATGACGTATCCTATGTATATGCATATGAGAAACCTGAGAAACCTGAGAAACCTGATTTCTTTCTACTGGAATTAGTTTTCTTGGCATTGATACGATTTACACCGTGCGGTCTCACCCCGCCTCGTTAAGCTTATATATACAAGATCGACTCCGTTACCAGTATTATACCAGTTCCAGGGTGCATACCACGATTTGGAATATCACCCTGCAGCTACCTACGTACATACGTCCCATACATGTATATATCCCGGCCGCCCGTCATGAGATCGAAACGCCTTAGCTAGGCGACACTGCAGGAAGATAAAAAAAAAAAAGAGGGGAATGCCATTAATGATATACGGGTGTCGATAGCTAGGAAACCGTCCGGCCGGCCGCGCAGCCAAAAACCGTCCGCAGAGCCAAATCCTTATTCCGAAGAACCACACAACCGATAAGCTCTAGATCTTCCTAAAGTAAAGATAACATTGGTGAGGACCTAGAATTAATTTTTCGTTCATTTATCCCATCAGTTAGATCTGAGGCCGTACAGTGCGGTGAGGCCTTGTTGCGTTGCCACCCAGGTTATGTACCTTTTGCTAGATCGACACCTACCTATATATATTCGAATATTCTTCTGTGGGTATCCCTTAGACGGATGACATGGTCAAATTCGCAGCTTGGTCCGTGCACGTACCTCATTGGGTAACTTTCTTTTCTTTTCAGAATAACAATAGCCAGAGAGCCAATCAAACCCAGTGATAATTACTAAACAGGGCTAATATCAACCCAAAGAGGCAAGCTGCGAATTTGACCGTGTCGTCCGTCTAAGGGATAGGTGTGGGACGTGCGCCCGGCGTGATCTGACCCTCGGCGTGTTTCATATGACTGGATCTGCATATCACCAAAATTAAGAAGAGCATCATGTAAGATTGGGTTGGTACCAGGTATTCTACATGTACCTACATGTAGGTGCATCCAAATGTCGAAAGGTTCCTACTCCAGATACATATCAGACCTAGCCGTGTTCTGAAACGCTATGAAATCACAAGTATATTCTCTTTTATATATATATAAACACCGTCGTAAATAAACGAAGGTTTGGGACCTATCATTTGAATGCCCAATTGTCTAAGACACACTTAATTCAATTACTCTCCCGAGGAAGAACTTTCGAGTCGAGTACATATATACCGACAATCGTTCTTGAATTCGAAGTCGAGATATATTATAACTGAGTTACAGCCAACTGCAAAAGTCTTGATTTTCCTTTTCGCCTTGCATCTACCTTTTTTCAGAAAAATCAAAAATTTACAAAAACCATATCCTGCCCGGCCTGAAGGTTAGGTCGAGCCAAATCTTTCGTGTTTAAAAGGTAATTGAAATAAAAATAGTCGATGAAAAGATTAGACCACTTCAAACCACAATATCTCCCATTTGGCACGTTGCCAGGAAATAATTTGAAATATTTCGTATAGTCTTGGCATTTAATGGGTCTTCAGGTGTTCTCGATTCTTCAATCAAAGCGCCCTTGCTGGATTAAACCAGTAGTTGGTGCGCATGCACGTGTGATAGTTGGGGTATCGAGATATATATGTGTGTGTGTGCGCGCGCACTGATATTGCGAACCAATAACAGCGTAAATGGCATATGGGTGACCTATTCTTGAAATAATCCGAGCTGGCTTATAAATAGCTTACTCTATTCTGGCCAACCACAATAGACATGAGTCTTCTATATTTCCTTTTCAAACAATCACTGCAATTGGATCGATTCAAGCCATTGCGTTTCAACACCGTACTCCCATTTAATTTTACTAGTGGATGTGATCAAACGCCCATATAATTTATATTGTAGTACGTAGAGTCTGGAGAAACGGCGCGCTAGACTCAAAAAAAACACCCCCCTCTTTCTCGAATTTCCTCTGGGCGTTCTTAGGGCTCATATCATGCCTATTATATCTGGTGAGCCGAAGGCCACGCATATAAACCCAGGCGCATTCTCCACTGTACGCACGTACTAGTGTCAAGACAACTTATCTATCTACACTCGATCACACATCAACCTGACGAAGAGGCAAGATATCACCGCGCCGCATCTTGAGTTCTCTTGATGCGGTCGCTTGTTTGATATTATATACACCCAACAGCCAATACCGATCGCGTCGTATAGAATATAAAGATAGATCGCCCAGATATTATATTCTTGGTTTACGTACCCCATCGTGCCATATACACCATACCCCGGCTTGAGCCGCATCCTCGCACGATACAGGAAGGAAGGAAAAGAAATGACTTCCTCTCATATACGAGAATCTACAATTCCTAGAAAAAGAATTAGGAGAGGGAAAGGATCCGGAGGGGAAAGAGTTAGAAAAGAGGCCGGAACCATTGAGTACAAGTGTTTGTACAAATGTGGCTTCCGCACTAGTAATTCGGAAAAATCTCTCCGGTAAGTATATATACCTCAATATCAGTCGATATTCCCCTCTCCGGCGCAATAGACATTTAAATACTTTCTAACGGACAATATAAAGTAATCATATGAAACGTGTTCATATAAAGCATCTGCAGTGTGAGAACTGCGGCCAACGATTCGGCGGAAGTTGGGAATTCAACCGCCATATGAATCCAGTGACAAAACCAAGGAGCTGTGTAATGAAACCTTTCATAAGGCTGCCACAGTACGTGATAAGTCACGGGGAAAGGATAACCCGCTGCTACAACTTGGGCGACCTTTCGCAGGCGATGTTTTCCGGCCCTGAAAATTTAAAGTTGTATGACGATAAAGACGGCACTGATAGTACGTAGTAAATATGACATAAAGCCTTTGATTTTGATGAGAGCTGCGGGTGGTTGATTAATTTGGTCTGGGCTAAGTATAAGAGGACTCGCAGATTTGCCCAAGGGAAACAATATTTTGATGAACGAATCAATCGATGAACCTGACCAAACGTGGAATCGAGATGGGAGGAATTCCATGGTAGACGAAACCGAGCCTGTAGTGGATTTATGGTACTGGATTTATGGCAATGGCTAGTGGAGGGTGGTGCATTGGAGGACGGTGCATGGCCGGTAGGACAGCTGGTATATATACGTAGTATATACTACGGTACTACTTATCGTGTTGGTGGTAATCGTGAGTCAGAGGTCGCCTCGGTGACGTTGGTGATTTTCCAGAGTACATGTAGCTAGGTACTAGTAGACACGACCAGGTATCCCTTGGACGAATGAGACATTGGAAAATCTCTCTCATGCATATATATCATGTGATCTCTATATTTTGGTGAGAAAACGTCCGGGTAAATAACTTGCTGCGTTTGCTAGTCTTTATATTACGCTGGTATGCCATATATTTCGCAGCATGCTGCCTTAAGTTCAGTCAATCATTTCCTTTATGGAACACGCTAATGCATGAGAGAGATTTTCCAATGTCTCCTTCGTCCAAGGGATAGCTATCCGTTAGACGGATGACACGGTCAAATTCGCAGCTTGCCTCTTTGAGTTAATTAATGCCCTGAACGAAGTGAAGGGTATGGGGGGGGTAAAGCTTAAGCTTATATCGCTCTCTGATTGGCTACTCCATGTGGACCAACAACCCTAATCCAAAATAACATATCAATTTTCCAAATATTATAATCAGATCATCAGTAATATGATGTTGCGTAGCTGCCCTCCTTGCGAGCAAGGAGGCACTTACTAGAAACCAATTCGGGACCTTCGTTCAGGGCATACGACTACCACCGGGCCCCATAAGATAGGGTCAGAGTCTGGGGGCGTCGTGCCGAGTATTAGCCCTGTTTAGCACTTATCACTGAATTTGATTGGCTCTCTGGCTATTGTTATTCGGAAAAGAAAAGAAAGTTACCCAATGAGGTGCGTGCACGGACCAAGCTGCGAATTTGACCGTGTCATCCGTCTAAGGGACAAGAAGTTATAAAATTATGTGAACGGTTATAATTATAAATAAGTCTAGATCCTATCCCTTAAACAGTCTCTAGGCGTTGATCTTATCACGATTACCCTAAAGGTTTGAGTAACTCGTTGCAATTCGGCCTGACGGTTTAAGGGATACAATATCTAATCATGAGCTGGGTGCTGGTCTCGGAATTCGAATATTGAGATTGCGCATGCGCGTGCGTAGATATTCTGAATTAGGTATTCAAGTCTGACAGACCATATCTATCACGCATAGCAATCAACGACTGACCAATGCATCAGTAAAACTGGCCATGGACCGATCGCGACTAGATCAGCAAATAATTAAAGCTTCCCTATATAAAGTCTAATCAGAAGGCTAGGGAGGAAAGAATAAGGCTGCATGTAGCTATGATATCTACTACGTCATCCTCAATGGCTAATACTAGTCAAGTGTCAATGTTCTTAAAGATATTAATTGCAATTGTGGTGTCGCTTTAATTAATGTTGTTTATTTGAAGTGTGCGCGTGGGGGTGCGCGTGGAGGGGATTGGATGATTTCAATCACATGCGAATTAGAAAACAATCTATGGAGAATCTGGGGAATCAACACATGTCTAAACTATATAGTCTTCCTCATCGTCACCAGGAACGTTTTCTATTGGTTGCGTACTATAGCTATTTCTAATATTGGTTGCATATCATTACGCAAGTAGACAAAGAACTACTCCCGAGATGGAAGGGAGCTGGCATTAAAAGGCGTGTAGCTATTGCAATTGATGGATATATATCAAGGTCGAACTTCCCTGATAGCATTTTATCATGAACTACATGTACATACTAAAGCTTCTCATTGAATGACTTAGAGTGCATACTGAAGCTAATAAATCGCAGATTACCTATACGGAGGGATGGAGATGAGGTTTAGTGCGTGCGCGTGCCTGTACGTTTGGATGACCCAATAATCCAGAATGGCAGTAATAATATAAGAATTACTATCGCAATACCGCCCGCACCTTCATTTCCTCACTACATTTGGGCGGCCGGAGGTCGCACTCCGCTTGTACATCATAGGTCACTTGCATGTTAACGTTGAGGCTTGAGTACATACATGACATTAAGACATACATAGCATTTAAGACATATATGATATTAAGACATCATACATGACATTAAGACATACATGGCATTAAGACAAACATGACATTAAGACATACGACATTAAGACATACATGACATTAAGACATACATGACATTAAGGCCACCCTCTAGAGTAGAGTAGTTAACCTATCCCTTGGGCTGGTGAGACATGCAGATTCCCCGACTTCCTCACTGGGGAACTATATGCGGTGACTAAGTGACTTTGCCTCTGTAAAAATGATCATTTCCTCAACGGCGAAGTCACTCTGCCACACCCTAACCAGGAAGTCGGGGAATCTGCATGTCTCACCAGTCCAAGGGATAGATAGCAACCCGTCAATTAGTAAATACGCTCTAATACGTCATGTATATTGCAATGAGTCTTTCGGTCTTTATTCTACATGTGCAACATGGATAACTGTGATCGTACCACCGACTCAATGGGCTATAATTGACTCTTCTGATGTCTCACAAATTGAAATTTCGATCTGATACCGGGCGAGGTGTTGTGATCAGGGTCGAGCTAATATTAATAGACTTCCTAAGCCATTTACCTACGTCGTCTCTAGGGTATGGCCCAAGATCGAGAATCGATGCCCCATATGGTTTCAATACCAACATCCAGTAAAACCTTTTTATTCTAGCCTATCAACTATTTTAGCGTCGCTTTTTGGACACATAGACCAGTCCGCCCATCGCGAGCGTTGGCCACTATTTTGCCCGCTACCCTGAGGATGCAACAGCGGACGCTCGCTGAGGGGCAGCTCTCGCTGATGGGCGGGCTAGTCTATCATTGACAATTTTTAGGCGATTTTGTACTGACATTGATGACGATGGGTGTAAGGTGGTGGAGATCTGTGGGTAAAATCCAATCAGATTTGTTTTTTCTTATTTAGACAGCATTTTCCGACAGACGAAGGGGTAAATCTTTAATGCATTATTTCCTATTATTTCCTATTATTTATATTCAAAAGCTTAAAACCCGGGTAATTTTCAACTACAGACTTCACTCTCGGGCCCAGCTAGCCCTAGATTAAAAACATATGAATATGCGGCCGGAGGCCGCTCCTCACTAGTATATATATACATATGTATCTACCCCTTGAGGAATCTGAATCAGCAAATGGAACAGTCATGTATACAGGACTACGGACATAGCCCCACCAACCACTGCCAAAACCTGCCTCGACTACCTATACCTTAGAACTACTACTTGTACAGTGAGTGGTTACATCTACTGGTAAGTTATTTTCTCTCGACAGTTACGCTCTACATATTACTGATGATAAAAGTATGAACAGGACGCCTTGGTGTTTCAAATAAGTCTACCTCACGGGGAGCATCACCTTGTTTCAAGAACTGTGGCGCATATAGCAGCACTGTTACTATGGACTCGATCGCGACTCAAAAGAGTTCCATCACAGCGAGTACTCCCCTTCTATCTACCGAGCCGATCGCCTCCCAGACCTTGATATCCTCTGTCCCGGACCAGCCCAGCTCCGCGGCTTCCACTAGTAGTAGTACCTTATTGCCGCAGATCGGGGGGTCGGCCGCGGGGGGGTCAGCGTCAGGAGAATTAGGGGCAGGCACTATCGCCGGAATCGCACTTGGGACAATTGCGATACTTGTCCTTGTATCTATACTTATCGTCTTGATTCGACGAGGAAAGACAGACACAGGCCAAGCTGCAGCTCAACCAGCTCATCATAGTTACATAGCTAATACAGGATACAAACCGTATGGACATGCATGGTGTGGTGGGAAAATGTAATAATCCTAGATGGCTGGCCGCAGGGGTTTCGATCCGCCGCCAATTGAACTAGATAATGATCCGGGAATAAGGCAGGAACTGCCCTGATGTTGAATGAAAGGGTTTGAATATGTGTTTGGAGGCTGTGTTTAGAGGCTGTGTGGTTAATTCAGCGGACGATAAGCAGAGCTAGAGCTTAGACTTGTCTCGTTTTGCGGATGGGCTGAATTGAATATATATGGGACCAGCTTGGGAAAAGCTTATGATTGTCTTTTGTTCTGGTTGATATACTGCAACATGTGTTTAAAAATCAAGATATGTGTAAGGATGATGTGGAGAGAAAAGATATTGTGCTGTTCAATTCATGATTGCTACCGCGTGTTGATGATCATGAGATTTCTATATCCTTGGAGCGTTAGGGCAAGCGGTCATCATTCTGCCGTGTCGCTGCGAACTTAGCCCGCTGCCAAACCTTTCGAACTTCCTCTCCGCCGATCCAGATATCCCTTAAAGCGTCAGGCCGAATTGTAATTAGAGGCACCTAACGCAAAGTGGAAATCGTGATATGGTAAACACAAGAATTATATGTATATCTGTGTTGCAACGTATAATTCATCACACACAAACCCGTGATGGTTTCTGTCGTTGCTACTCCTCTAGGCGTGCCCTACATCACGATTTCCACTTTGCGTTAGGTGCCTCTAATTACAATTCAGCCTGACGCTTTAAGGGACAGGCTTTCACTTGACCCTGTTCTGAACTTTGCCTGCTATGAGCTTTGACTGTTGTAACCTCTGTATTTTCTCTTGAGTTCACTTTAAGCTACCCTTTTATATTTATCCCAAAGTCCTTAAGTTCCTATTGGTCTGTTTGTGATCCTGGTCCTGAGGTGAATGACGGTAACCAAGTAAGTAACCACCGAGCCCGCTTTCGCGCATGATGATAACCTAACCAACCCTGACAACTAAACTTTAGTATTAGCCGTTTTTCATAAACCTGATCGCTACATGTAACCTTAACAAACCCTAGCTAATTACTGCATAGTCAGGAAGAGATTCAAGAAAGGGGATGTAACTTGGATTTTCTTGATGCAAGGGATGGAATTTAAAACTCGATATCGGAACTCTTGGAAGCAACGAATTAGTATGGCCTATAATTCTCGGCGCCAGTGTTGTCAACTACAAGACAAGTTCATGCTTCGCGTATTCGACCTTGACCCGAGCTTTTTAGGTACTGCTCCTACTCCTCTACATATCCGTACCATTCTTTGCTTAGATGAGCGTAAAGCACTGTACATGTCGGCTGCGGAACCCCGCACTGGCGTTGAGCTAGTCTTTAGTATACGTACTTACTCGGCGCGCGATCAGCATTCAGGGTAATAATATCCCATATACGTCGTAGTCTCGTCAACCCTAACCCTAGCCCTAACAATTATGACAGATCGACCTACAACATCAACCTCAAGGGCTCATACTACCTGAGCCACTCGAGGAGCTCGACCCATTCAAAAGTTGGTCAAGCTGTCGAATAGCTCGCCTTTGTAACATAAGCCAAGCTGTTTCCTCGATCCTGGCGCTTCCCCGCAGACCATAATGGGGTCTTTACTTGTTTTGAGATCGAGATCAAATATAATAGCTTGGATTCGGTCAGATCTTTGTCGGGCGGGGTCGTACCCAAATTAATCCTCGCGCCCGATAGAGCGACCGAGTTAGCTATATCTCTGGCGGCGGACATATGTGGAGCTGCCCATCACAGGATATCACTCGCTCCGGGTGAAACTTTAGATATAATTCTTTTTTCTAGATTTTTGGGGGGAAGGCGAGTCGAGGTGGATCGTTTATTAACAGATATACGCACGTACTTATGTATCAATGCAAAAAAATCACTTGCAAGAGATACAGACTACATATACTTCTCTGGTAGGTATATCTGGTACCAAGCCCCCAGCGCGCGCTCGTTATCCGAACGAGGTTGTGCACACACGCACACGCGCGCTTGGGGGTGCGCCGGGGCTCTATTTCTGGCGTGTATATTTTGGTGTCTGTCTGGTCGGCGAACTGCTACTACTAACGGTCGCCGCGTGAGCGGGGGAACCGGCGGGGGTGTGGGGGCTGGTTTGCGATTTATTAGTGCCCATGGACGGCGGTAGGACGCAAATAGCTGTGATAGAAAAGACTTGGTACGAAGCTTTTATTTATCTAGGAGCTCCCCCGGCCACATATATCAACAGCTTCTATATAGTGTATCTGGTGTAAGCGTAATTAACGGTGGAATGGGGGTATATAAGGGGCTGAGCATATAGCCAACACGGGTATGAACCCAGGTAAATTGGGAGGAGACATGGATAAGGGGATAAGAGCCTTAAGTCAACTTGTATTCCTCACCTTTGTTCTAGAATAAGAACCGACTCAGACGTAAATACACTTCGGTGCCACATACACCGCGCCGGAGCCCCAACGGTTATAGCGAGACATGGACGAGCCTGGATATCTTCAGGTAGCCGCCGTTATCGAATGCTTATCTCGAAGCCAATACCATCTGCTAGCTTCTCTGGGACGTTTTCTCTATCGATATGATATCTGGCCAGGGTCCATTAAGCCAAACTACCAGTTTCCTCACCGGTATCCCGTGATAGAATAAACCCACTCCCGCCGAGCTAGGTAATAGGCGACTGCCTGCCGAGTCTGCATGCATGCCCGGGGAGGAGGTGGCCAGTACGGGGCGAGTTGACAGGAGATGGAGATATCGATTCGGTCCCGTCAGTACATGATCCGGTGAAGCCGTCTTACATTGTCTGTCGACCCATCCCGTCCCAGTATACAGCGATATAAAACCCTGGAATCTGCACTCAGTCTCCTATAATGCTGTAGTGACATTCGTTAGCTCGTGTCTTCTTTTCTCTGGAATCCGGTATTCCTGTCCTCTCATTTACGTCCCGCGATACTGGTATCGAATCCACGTTCCTTTGATTTGTGCTGAACTATTGAGCGAAGCAATATCCTCTCCCTTAATCTTCCTCAACACACCAATGCCTACCCGGCAAAACCCCTTCGCAATGAATATCTTCCTCTCCCTCCTCCTCCTCCTCCTCCTCACCCTCCCCCTCACACTCTCCGCACCCGCCCCCGCCCCCGGCGTCCGCCCCGACGTCGTCGTCGCCCCGAAATTCATGACCCTCGCCAACACCTGCAAAAGCAGCTCTACACCGCCCCCGGCCAAAGCATCCTCTTCTACGGCCGCCCACCACAGCCCAAGACCGGCACGCTGGAGATGAAAGACTTCATCATGCAGACGTTTGTCAAAAAGTCGCCCGGCACCTCGCTCGACTACCTCATCGAGCGCAACAAGCTCTGGGACAAGATCAACGAGTCCAACCCCTCCGAGCGCCTGCAGTGGGGCTCGGCCATGAGCCACGTCTACACCAACCAGGCGTCGGGCGTCGTGCGCGTGCTCGTCGGCGCGAACCCGGGGACCGTGGAGTGGTACAAGAGCTCGGTGTTTTACCAGTTTGAGCTTCCCGAGCTCACGAAGGCGGGCACGAAGGTGACGCAGATTGTGATGGTGAATGCGGCCAAGTTGGAGGCGACGAAGGTGTTTTGGACGCCCGGGAAGGGGCACTGGGGGAAGGGGGGGAAGAACGCGGATAAGACGCCGTTCGACCAGTTTGTGGCGCCGGGGGGCGCGAGCGGTGCGGGCGGTGCACATGCGGCGGCGGCGTGTAAGAGAGCGGTGGGGCAGGGGTGCAAGAAGACGGGTGGGAGTGCTGCGAAGGCGAAGGCGGGCGGGAGCACTGCGGTCAAGAAGAAGACTGCGGCTCCTGTGGTGAAGAAGGGGCGGGGGAAGGCGTAGACAATTGACATGCACCGGTGTTGAACGCAATATGAAGGTTCAAGAGCAACAATTAAACCCCAGCGCGAGTGTAAATAGAGAGAAAAGCTAGAGATCTATTCAATATATATACGGATGACCTTCTACACGTAACAGATGAAGCGCGTGGTGAATCAATCGTTGCTAAGTAATTACATGTAACGAGGTTCCGATATTACCGAGAGATAGCTTATGATTGAACCGAGCGCAGGCGGGAAGCAGCACCGAACGGGCTGCCTCGAGATCCAGGGGGCAGGAATCGTTGTCATATGTTTCTGAGCTGGCTACATTATATGCTATATATATCCCGAATCACTCATTTGCTTATCTCAAAGGATCTATTGATTTAATGAATCAATCAACCAATGATGATTTCGTTGATCAACCGAGCGAGACACGTATATATACAACGTTAATCGCGTTTCGCAGAGAGAGAGAAAAGGCCATACATGTAACTATAGCGCAATTGAAGAGTGGGAGCAGCATGACAGAATTCAAGTTGACGGGAGGATACGCGGGATGCACTTACTGGGATATATCACGCGGCATTTTAAATCATAGGATATCACTCGTCCCACGATATCTGCTTAAGATGTCCTTGATGCGAGGCCTCGACCTTCCATCATGAAGCCATACATATCATGTACTGCATGGTGAAGCAACTTTGATATCCAGTCATCTTGAGCCGGTCTTGTTACACGGAGAGCAGGTGTCTATTACGATACCTAGGACGCGTGCCAAGAGAAGAGGCGCGCCTTGGCAAACTCGGTCCGGGGAATCGTGAGCGCACGTACGGAGCATGATAAATTGAATGAATTGCAAGTGGCAGCTGCAAAGCTGCGGGAACAATTAAGCAAAACGATTTTCCCGTCCGCACCGGCCGTAGCATTAATCGACGGCTCTTACTTGTTCCATAAGCATACCGACGGAGATGTGGTACGTCGAACGATTTTCTTACCGGCCTAGGTACGTACTCACCCGTCCTTCACTGACTGCATGTACATATATACCTATCGATCCCCTCGGAGGTCGATCAGGTTCAATCAGTATTTGTCATGCTAATCACATGCACATATGAGAACCTTGGGCATGAATGCATATATGCACACGGTTTGTTTATATCGATATATCTAGGTCTGATGATCATGAGATGTCGAAAATTTATTACTGTGAGGAATATTGGCCTGACCGCCGAGGGGATCCGGGATCGATATCGATAGATATATATATCGCTTAATTATCATTAGTCAGTCGGTAAAATGCTATCCCTCAAGGCTACATGTAGTGCCAGAAGTTCGACTTAATTTTGCTAATACAATGGATTCTGTTGTGGTCCATAAGTACATACATAGATAGTAAATAACGAATTTCCATAAGCCATTTATTTCTATATTAGGTGTCAGCATTGACAGACTCAGGGATACATTAGCATTTATATCAACAGGCAGGCCCGTTTCGCCAAGCCTAGCAAGATCGTAGCTTAGGGCGTATCAATACCTGCTTGTTTGTTCACAACGCGAATAACAGACCAGCTAGAGACTGGAGTCTAGTAAAGCACCATACAGAAATCTCAAATCATTACATGTTTTCCAATTTCAAGCTATCCCGTGGCCCACTGCCCAGAAGGCATCGAACGTACCCCACAACTACAACTACAACTTCCGTAAAGGGTTGATCCTACATGCGGGGCCTCTTTCCCGGTTCAAGCCTTTGGGGACCACGAGGTGCATAGATTTGAGTTGAGTAATCTACTATATAGCTGCGGGTCTATCCAAAAGGCTTTAACATCCATGCATCGATCTTATGATGTGCGCCAATGATCGGCTGGCGCCGGCGATGCAGCATTTTTCCTTTTGTAAGATATTAGTGCCCTTGTGCTCGTGAATTAAACCCATGTGTTCACATGTGCCTAGAGTGCATATATATCGAGTGGACATATAACTAGCTCCAACCAACCGCATCCCAATCATGCACCCAGAGACATGGTTTCACACGCCATATGCATCCGCAGCCCGTCTCGTCAATCGTCTCCTACCTGGATCATCTTCTCCCCACCCACTATATCGGTACCGAGCTCCCCCAGATTAACTCATTCAAGCGGGGTAATCTGCACATACACCGGCCTAGTTTAAGCATGTCGGGAAAGCGGCAGTTTGAATGATCTACAGTCATGCAATGAGGGCCCTGTACACCCGCAGGAAAAAAGTGAGGAAACAACGAGTAGCGTGACAACGAGTGCATCTAACTTGACATCCCCGCACCCGCAATACAGCCCTACGAGTATTCACTAGCCATGCCTTTTGACAAGTCAGGAAAGCGAAGGGAGGCTACTCTGAATGAAAACATAAAAGTTATTGAAGCCCAAGCTAGGTGTAACGGCAGCTATGTATTTCGGCTAGGTAATAAATTGGAACGAGACGAGGAGGTATTGTGTAGTGGGATTAGGATTTGTAATGGGGATTTCTGTTATGTCCTTTCAGTTTCTGTTATGCGGAGGTATTAGTCATCATCGGACTATGGTTGGATATATAAGGGGGCGTTGTCTTGTGCTTTTATTTGTTTTCTCTCCTTCCTTCTTTCTTTACGCAACCTCTGCATTCTACCCGCTCGCCTCTGGCTCGCAGTAGGATTTCTTCCCCCGAGATGGAGTTATACTGATTCTCGAATTGCTTCGGTCCCTGAACTTCCCTCGCTCGACACCCCCCATTCTTTGTTCGTTCGGTGCCCTCACGGGACGCGTCCACCGTTCACCCCTCGCCAAACCAGCGGCTACTCTCGAAAGCCGCCTTCGCCCCTCCTTACTTTCACTCATCGCACGAGTGATCCCACACGTCGGGTACGCACACTGTCAGTAATCTCTAGTCAGCGAGAACCTACTGCCAAAGCGCTCGACAGCCCGCGAAGTTAGCGACCTTACGGTCGCGAAACTATCGTCAAATTTTTTACCCGAGGTCCCGTGACCTTACCCCTCTTTATCGGCCTTAACCAGGCCACCCATTTTTAACCGAGGCGGCCCGCTCCCCTCACCCCAACCCAACCGGTCTCCGAGACCACCCCTCAACACAATACGGTCGGCACTTTCGATTGCGACCCCCATACATACTGAGCCTTCGGCTCACCCCTTTTTGCATGTCCCCTCCAGAGGACACCACTTCAACTACGACTCGGGCACAGTCTTTAGCCATTGCTACAGGGACCGACGACCCCACCCATTCTTACTTGACCTACCGGTCACCACTCCTCAATTCCTCGCTGCCTGACAACCAGAAGCCCGAGGACCCACACTCGACCCACCCCCCCTCGTTTTCACACCTGACGCTGTTGCGGTTGGCCTCTCCTGCCTTCGTGCGCGTGGTTTCCCAGTCCTGTTAAGGTTCGTCCACAGATATGACACCGGGAACGTTGGTAATGATATCGTTTCGATTGAACACTACGTTTAGGATTGTGCTCGCTTATGTAGTTGACGGAGAAGTTTGGGGTTCATTCTTACTACGGGGAGGTTTCTTTGTTGTCGCTTAGATTCTGCTTACCTGTACCACTTGTTATTTGCGCCCTCTTCGTGCGTTGTTTACTTTTATTTATGTACGTAGTTCTCGTAGCTGCGGTAGTTAGGTTTTGTACTTTGTTTTTTGCTTTCGTGTTAGTCGGTGGAGGTTGTAGTCGGGTAGTTAGGTGTGCGATAAGCTTCGGCTTCTAAGCAATATAAGTTTCTTCTTCTTCTTCTTCTTCTGTATTTTATTCCACGAATATTACTTTTGTTCTACGCTAAGTCATAGGGTTTATCTTGGATCCTTGATCAGGATTGAACCATACCATAGTCTATAGTCCCGAATCCCTTGATACTACGTCCTCACCTCGATTGTATTCCTTCGCACTATAGTCCCTCATTCATAGACCCACGTTATACTAGGGAAGAGTGGTAAAAGCTGCATTGGGAAAATATATATAACATCATTGACAGCATTCCAAAGAGAATTGCAGCAGTAGTAAAGAATAAGGTAAGTCATGAAAAGTGGTAAATATAGTTCAGAGGCCGTATTATCTATTCTGTATCTCATTGTATAGTCATATTACTTCTATTCATTTTCATTTTCACTTTTTCATTGGGGTTCAGATTGATTGCACTCATTGTTTTCTCCCTTTTTTCCTACGGGTGTACAATATGTTGCATGACGCTTTAATTTTAGATCAATTTGAAGAATTTGGGCTTTGAATTCAGCTAAAGGAGAACAATCTAACAGGAAGCTACTGTATCCGGTTGGTTTTGGCCAGCTGATGCCCTGTTCAATCGATATTGACAGGGAGGAATTATCACAGGTTTCTACACATACACGGTATGATTCTTCATACCTTGAAATAATAGCTCGCTGAATAAATCCGAGTTTAAGGTTTTCATTTGATCCCCTAGAAAGCCAATCTCAATTGACCTATATAGCTGGCCATCTTTCGAGAATCACAATGAATGAGGGGATTGTTCAGGCCAGCTAGTATTGTAAAAACCTGTGCAATTGGTAAAGGGTGCATCGTAGTCGGTCAAAATGTCTTTTGATTTAAGCCCGCGGTTGCAGATCTTCCTACAGCATGGTTCAATGGGATGAGTTAAATTGCGGAGAGTGGGATTGAGAGTACACATGATCCTAGAGATTTCCACACATTTGCTTACATTGAGAAGGAGAAATTCAGGCAAAACTTTACCGTCAAACCGGTAAAAACAAAAAGGTTTGCAGAAGGCTCAGAACACACTTATATAAGCCAAAGATAAGGCTTTTATTTGATATACATAATCCTTTTTTGTAAATAAGCCTACTGTAAGTTGAAGTTTGGTCTCAAGGGGACAAGTATCGAATATTCCGCAGGGTATGAAGGGGGTAGTAGAGGTCGGTGTGGGAACCTGTAATAGGGGTACTGAGGGACTCTAGCATTGATAAGGGTCAAAAGGACAGGAGAAGCAGCAACATGGTGGTCTTCTTGAGTAAAGAAAA